GAGGGGCATCCAGGACTGGTGTCTGTGCCTCAGACTGGGGATACGTTCAGCCTAGACTGGACCAGGCATGGGGGGTTTCACCAAGTGCATCTCCAAGAAAAAGATTAAGTTGAGAGATCAGCCAGTGTGTTCTGGCATGTTGAGAAGATCCATACAGTTCAAGCAGTGGGTTTGGGGATGAATGGGTGACTGGTACACAGAAAACTAAGGAAACCAGAACATGAAACTCAAGGGAAAGCAGAATAGTACAGAGTGCATGTGTAGCGACCTGGCTGGGAGTGACTAGTACTCACTTGAGTCTCTAATGTAGGCAGTGAGTGAAGACTTAGCCAAAATGTGTGATGTAACTAAATAGAGAGGATGGAAGAAAGGAAAGCAGTGGGGGTCGGGTGGACAGGCTGGTGGGAGAGAGTACAGTTCTCATCAACCACAGTAGGGAATCAATCACATAACACCAGTGACTAAAAATCAAGAAATGCTGCATGATCGTGTTATTGAAAATATGGAACACACGTTTCTGAAAAACGGGTGGAAGGGTTGAAAATTGTTGCCTCTGGGGAATGGAAATCAGGAATGGGGAAAGGTGAGTGAAAGTGGGGATGCTTTTTTTGTTTGTTTTAAGTCTTACGGAATTATGTATGAGTCTTTAAATTTGGGATGTACAAAACTTTAATAAAAATTAACAATAAAAAGAAAAATTTCCCATAACAGCAAGGTATAATTTTCACCGAAAAGAATGACAAGGGGGAAAATAGCCCTCTCATGCATGTCACGTTTGGGTGTACATTAAGACAGTTTCTCTGGAGAGAAATTTGGCAACCCATATCAAAATTGTAAGTGTTTGTCTATTCTAGTGTAGAATGTTCTAGGAATATTCTCTAAGGAAATGAAGAGACAAGGAAGGATGACACAGGTGTTCATGTAATTTTATTTATAATATTGCAAAACTGGCAACAATCTATGTGTCAGTGTGTGAGGGATCAGTTAATGAGTTATGGTATCTCTCTGCAAAGGAAATCCATGTAGCTCTTTAAAATGATGGTGCAGAGCCATATCTATCAACACAGAAATATTTCCATGACGTATGGTTAAGAAAAAAATGCATGCTCCAAAAACAGTTGTGTATAATATGAGCCTATCAGTGTAAATGTGCAGTTATATAGAATGAAGAACAGAGACATCCAGAAGAGAGAGAGATCCAGAAAGGTTACCAAAACGTAGCCATGACCCATGGGTGGTGCTGGATCTTGGGATATTTACTTCTTTTTTTATATTCGTCTATACTGAATATATTCTACATGAACACGTCACTTAAAAGAAATCAAGCAGTCGTGTTTACTTGGCCCTCTCCTTGCCCCTTCTCCTTGTCTGTCAGTTGCCAAGCCCTTTTCTTCCTATCCCTGCATCATCATTCCAATCGACCTCTCTTCTCCTTTTAAGCCAAATCTCACTTTTGAGCTCTGGATTCTTCTACTGAAGTGACTCCAACACAAATCCACCTGGATGTCCCTCAGGCACACGAACTCAACCTGCCCCAAACCGAATACATTGATTTCACCCAAACTGCTCCCATTTCAGCGCCCCCCACCTCCCCCAATAGCCCCACATCCCATCTACGCAATCGCTCAAAGCAGAAACCTGGGGCACCATTCTTGATCTAACCCTCCGCCTCCAGCCTGTCATGCTCCCGTTGGCACTACCTCTAAAGACCTCGCAAACCACTTCTTTCCACCTCTATGGCCTCTATACCATCCATGTTTTCATTCATTCAACAAATATTTATTGACCACCTCCTGTGTGCCAGGCACTGGGTGGGGCTGGCATACAATGGAGAATAAGAGAGACAAGGTTCTGTTCTCATGAATGGAGCCTTGTGTGTGACAGAACGGGTGGACAATAAACAAATAAACAAAACAATTACCTAATGGAGTAAATCCTAGAAGAAAATAAACACAATGTGTGATAAAGCATAACCGGCGGCAGGGGAGGGGTCCTGACTCTAGATGGGGGGCGGGGAAGGCTCTCTGAGCCAGGAGAGATGGAGATGGAGCCAGGCACCAGGGCGCTCCCCTCCTCCCAGGGCCCTTGCCTTCGCCTTTCCCCTCTTCAAAACAGTGAGGTGATCTTATCAAAAGCCAACTGATCACATTAGCATCCCCCTGGCCACCCTTGTTAATGTCCCTCATGAGGCCTCGTGTCTCTTTCTGGCCTCACCTCCGTCCACTGCCCCTGCACACCCTCTGCTCCAACTAAGCAGAACCTTCTGTCTCCTGAATGCTTTTTCTGCACTGCCAGCCTCCCTGTGGGTTGCCCTGGACCCACTTCCTCCAGGAAGCCCTTCAGTTTTGGCTCGTGAACACTGTTGCCGCACTGCACCGTCACTGATGACTATTTCTGTGTCTGAATCTGCAGGAGGGCAGGGCTGGGCCTCCCCCTGGCCACCACTGAACCCCCACTGGTGCCAGTTCTCATCCTTTCTCACCCCAGCTGCTACCTTTCCTTTTCAACTCTTCCCTTATGACAATCCATCTGAGAGAAGAATCTTGCTAAAATGAGTGGCAAAGGCAGAACAGTGAACTCAAACTACTGATGTCCCTAGGGCACACCTGAGCCGGAGGAAAGGGTGTTAGGTTTGGAGCGCTGCGTCCAGCCATAAGGAATTCGTGTTACAGGCGGAGGACAAAATTCCTGTGCATAGAGGGGAAGGGAGGGCTGTGAGGCAGAGAGCAGTTTTGGGGCAGAGGTGGGTCTTCTCGGGGGATGATAGAGCCTGCAAAGCAGACCTCAGTCAAGCAGAGGAGGGAACACATGAATCCACACTCTCTGCTCTCTTGCACTCCAACTTTGAGGTGTCTCAAAAGCACACGAGGCTAGCTGGCTCAGCAGACCCCAGGGGTGCCGCTGAGCTGGGGAGAGGTGGATGGTGGGGAATGGGGCGGACCTCTGCCACAGAGAAGTTGGCTGGGAGCTGCGCAGACTGTGTCCCAGGTCATGGGGTTGTTTGCTCATTCGTCCACTCATTCATTCTTTCAGTGAATATTTCTTGACATCCTGCCATTTGCCAGACTATTTTCAGTGCTGGAAACCTAGTAGCTAGTAAAGCAGATGAAGTGCCTGCTCTCTTGGACCTTGGGAGGTGATGGAGGCTCTTAGAGAAACAAATACACAAATAGACTACTTCAGGTGGCAATGGCGATGAAGGAAAATAAAACAGGGTGAGGTTTAGAGTGAGACGGTGATATAATGTATAGGGGGGTTAGTAAATTTTTACTGGGTGCTCAGTAACCCTATCTATTTTTCTTTTGTTAGCCCCGGCTCTTGTAAAGTTTGGTTCAAACCAGCACTTCTCAAACTTTGATGAGTAGTCACCCAGGGGTCTGGTTAAAATGCAGATTTTAATTCAGTATGTCTGGGGTGGGGACTCAAACTCTCACTACTAAATAACTCTCAGGTGACACCTTGGCTTCTGGTCCCTGGACCACACAGCTCTGCCTTTGGGGCTAAGAGGAAAGCTGTGGGTCCCTCCCAGTTAACAGAGGGACCATGCCTCCTGAGGGCGATGGCAAGACAGTGATGTCAGCCTTAAGGGAGAGCAAACAGCAGCAGCAAAAGTGACCCTAGCCAGTCTTCTGCCCCTCCTGGTGTGCAGAGGTCTTCATCCATAACTGTCTCTGGATGATCTGGGTTTGAAACCAGCAAGGAAGCCATGGAGTTTCCTTAGAGCTTCTCCATTTTGGAGACGAACTCCCAAATGCATAGTGAGGGACATGAGGCCTGCAGCAGCCTAGCTCTCTCCCTTATCTTTCACTATAAGCCTTCATGAACCCTGGATTTCTACCAGGGTCACAGTGAGTACTGCTCCTTTTCCCCCTTCCCCAGGGTCTCCATCCCCCAACAATGTTCTTCACCTCCAAGCAATTTGGTACTGCTGTTCCCTCCGTTTAGAATTTCCATTCCCCTCATGGCCAGAAGGTCAGATCTCACCCATCCTCCAAGGTCCAGCTCAAATGCCATGCCCCCCACCAGCCTTGCCCATCCCCCCTGCCAGGAGCTTCTTAGAAATCCTACAAAGCTTCACTTGAACCTGTTTTTGGTTCAGTAATTTCTTCCTCCTCTCAATGAGTTATTTGTGTCTTAGTTTTACTTTCCTTCCAGGATGTGAGCTCCGAGAGGAAAGGCCCACCTCTAATCGTATTCTTTCCCCCATCCCTACCCTAGTTCCCAGTACCTGGTCATGACCTAAGAATTGTCCTATGAATGAAAAATAAATGAATAATGAAAAATAAATGAACGATTAGGTTTGAAATCACCACCAGCAGGAGGAAGAATGTGCTAGCCCAGTGATTCTCAAAGCTCAAGCAGTAGCACCCCCTGGGAACTGGTTAGATTGCAAATGGTCAGGCCCTACCCCAGAGGTGAGGCTTGGAGACCCTGGGGGCAGAGCCCAGCAATTGATCTACATCTACTTTTTAACCAGGCCTCCAAGTGGCTCTGACGCTTGCTCCAGAGTGAGAACCATAGAGTTGAGCCTGATGTACATCCATCATTCCTCAGCTGTCCTCCTCCAGTGCTTCAGCCTTCACCTGGTTCCACCAGGGAGCAAGGAGGAGAGAGGGGTGCCGCCAGCATGGAGGGCAGGGAATGGATAGGGCTGAGTAGAATGGATAGGGCTGAGCAGAAGGCTCATGCTGGAAGAGACAGAGTGGGTGGGGAGACATGGAGGGAAGGAGGAGGGAGGAAAAGAGGGGAAGGGGAGAAGGAAGGGGAGAAGAAAAGGAAAGAGGCAGAGAGGGAAATGGAGAGGAGCTCGGCCTCCTGGGGTGGGGTGGGGCGAAGAGACAGCATTTTCCAGAAGGTCATCCCTCCCTCCATCCCCGGCCAGCTCACACTGGGTGCTGGCGGGGGACCCTGGAGACCTATCTGTGCGGCCTCCCAGCCCCTGTGCGGGCCTTGGGACCCCAGCCCGGTGTCCCCCCACACCCGCGCCCCATGCCCGGTACTTGCTCGTGCTGGGGGGGCGCCTCCAGCCCCGGCGTCGCCAACACGGCCATACCTCCGGTGCACACAGCCGCTGCCGAGGGTCTCTGAGTCTGCGGGCGGGGGCTGCCTGGATGCCCAGCCCCAGGCAGTGTGGTCTCGGTACCAGCACGGGGAGCCTCCTGCAGAGCAGGGATGCTCATGATGGTCACCATCACCACTGAGGAGACCCTCTGGGTCTCAGGGCCCTCTGTGGTCATGCCATCAGCCGCCATCGCTAGTGAAACGCCCTGCGCCCCCCGCCCTTCCCGCGCTCTGGGCTGGACCCAGTGGCTCTGTTACCAGGCTACAGGAAGGATAAGATGTAGGGAGTCTAAGAATGAGCAGTGGAGATGAGAGAGGAGCGAGGACGAGCAAGGTCATTTTCTCCTCGGTTCCCTCTCTCAGAAGTGTTTATCAGAAGACAAGAGTTCAGGTGATGGTCCACATGCCCAGAGACTGACCCTCTGCTGCCTGCCCAGCCCCCTGCCCCTTCCTTCTCAGTTATCTGCAGCCTCAGTCAGGTGGGACAGCTCCCTGGTAAAGTCCCATCGGCCCCTCTACAGATGACAAAGGAGGGAAACTCCACTGTGGGAGAATGCAGAGCCCCTTCACCACTGTGCTCCTCCAGGACATGGGCCTTCCCCTGGGAGATCACCTGAACTCTTGTCTTCTGGGTCCAGCCCATGTAATTTGCAACTTTGTTTCCCAAATATAATGGTTGGCAGCTGACTCCATCATCAATGTGGAAAAGATGAACTTTAGTCCTGTTGTTTAGCTGTAATTTCTTCAGCATGTTAGCCCCAGTCTGCTGCCCCCATCCTCTCCTGGTCTACAGCCCCGAGGTGATTGTAATGATGTAAGAGAAGAAATGAGATAATGTCATAAAGGTGCTTGAAAAACAAGGTGGAGTCAAGAATAGATAGACAAATATGGTATATTGTACAGGAAGAGAGAAATAGACCCATGGGACAGAGCAGAAAGACTCCAAATGGACACATGCATTGACAGGAACTATTTTTATGAGAAGAATGGCAAATCAGCAGGGAAAGGATGGACTGGGTAGTAATTAGCTTATCCATGTGAAAAAAGTTACAGCATAACAAGACAAACAGATGGCTTAAAAAGAAAAACTTTAAGAAGACAATTTAAAAGAATATCTTTGTCATCTCAATATAGTAAAGATATATTAAACAAGAGTCAAGAAGAACAAACAATGAAGGAAAAGATTCATAAGTTAGTCTACATTAAAATGTAAAATTTCTGGGCTCCCCTGGTGGCGCAGTGGTTGGGAGTCTGCCTGTCGCTGCAGGGGACACGGGTTCGTGCCCCGGTCTGGGAAGATCCCACATGTCGCAGAGCGGCTGGGCCCGTGAGCCATGGCCGCTGAGCCTGCGCATCTGGAGCCTGTGCTCCGCAACGGGAGAGGCCACAACAGTGAGAGGCCCATATACCGCAAAAAAATAAAATAAATAAAATAAAATTTCTGTACAATGGAAAGTTACCATTAAAAAGAAGCAAACTGAGAGGGGAGACAGCAGAAGCAAGAAGAACTACAATCCTGCAGCCTGTGGAACAAAAACCATATTCACAAAAAGATAGACAAGATGAAAAGGCAGAGGGCTATGTGTCAGATGAAGGAACAAGAAAAAACCCCAGAAAAACAACTAAATGAAGTGGAGATAGGCAACCTTCCAGAAAAAGAATTCAAAATAATGATAGGGAAGATGATCCAGGACCTCGGAAAAAGAATGGAGGCAAAGATCGAGAAGATGCAAGAAATGTTTAACAAAGACCTAGAAGAATTAAAGAACAAACAAATAGAGATGAACAATACAATAACTGAAATGAAAGCTACACTAGAAGGAGTCAGTAGAAGAATAACTGAGGCAGAAGAATGGATAAGTGACCTGGAAGACAGAACAGTGGAATTCACTGCTGTAGAACAGAATAAAGAAAAAAGAATGAAAAGAAATGAAGACAGGGCTTCCCTGGTGGCACAGTGGTTGAGAGTCCGCCTGCCGATGCAGGGGACACTGGTTCGTGCCCCGGTCCAGGAAGATCCCACATACCGCAGAGCAGGTGGGCCCGTAGGCCATGGCCACTGAGCCTGCACGTCTGGAGCCTGTGCTCTGCAACAGGATAGGCCACAACAGTGAGAGGCCCGTTTACCACAAAAAAAAAAAAAAAAAAAAAAAAGAGACCTCTGGGACAACATTAAATGCAACAACATTCACATTATAGGGGTCCCAGAAGGAGAAGAGAGAGAGAAAGGACCAGAGAAGATATTTGAAGAGATTATAGTTGAAAATTTCCCTAACATGGGAAAGGAAATAGCCACTCAAGTCCACGAAGTGCAGAGAGTCCCATACAGGATAAACGCAAGGAGAAACACACTGAGACACATAGTAATCAAATTGGCAAAAATCAAAGACAAAGAAAAATTATTAAAAGCAGCAAGGGAAAAATGACAAATAATATACAAGGGAATTCCCATAAGGTTAACAGCTTATTTCTCAGCAGAAACTCTACAAGCCAGAAGGGACTGGCATGATATACTTAAAGTGATGAAAGGGAAGAACCTACAACCAAGATTACTCTACCCAGCAAGGATCTCATTCAGATTCAATGGAGAAATCAAAATCTTTACAGACAAGCAAAAACTAAGAGAATTCATCACCACCAAACCAGCTCTACAACAAATGCTAAAGGAACTTCTCTAAGTGGGAAACACAAGAGAAGAAAAGGACCTACAAAAAACCCCCAAAACAATTAAGAAAATGGTCATAGGAACATACATATCGATAATTACCTTAAACGTGAATGGATTAAATGTTCCAACCAAAAGACACAGGCTCACTGAATGGATACAAAAACAAGACCCATATATACGCTGTCTACAAGAGACCCACTTCAGACCTAGGGACACATTCAGACTGAAAGTGAGGAGATGGAAAAAGATATTCCATGCAAATGGAAATCAAAAGAAAGCTGGAGTAGCAATACTCATATCAAATAAAATAGACTTGAAAACAAAGAATGTTACAGAGACAAGGAAGGACACTACATAATGATCAGGGGATCAATCCAAGAGATATAACAATTACAAATATATATGCACCCAACATAGGAGCACCTCAATACATAAGGCAACTGCTAACAGCTATAAAAGAGGAAATCTACAGTAACACAATAATAGTGGGGGACTTTAACACCTCACTTACGCCAATGGAAAGATCATCCAAAATGAAAATAAGGAAACAGAAGCTTTAAATGACACGGTAGACCAGATATATTTAATTGATATTTATAGGACATTCCATCCCAAAACAGCAGATTACACTTTCTTCTCAAGTGCGCATGGAACATTCTCCAGGATAGATCACATCTTGGGCCACAAATCAAGCCTCAGTAAATTTAAGGAAATTAAAATCATATCAACCACCTTTTCTGACCACAACACTATGAAATTAGAAATGAATTACGGGGAAAAAAACGTGAAAAACACAAACACATGGAGGCTAAACAATATGTTACTATATAACCAAGAGATCACTGAAGAAATCAAAGAGGAAATCAAAAATACCTAGAGACAAATGACAATGAAAACACGATGATCCAAAATCTATGGAATGCAGCAAAAGCAGTTTTAAGAGGGAAGTTTAGAGCAATACAATCCTACCTCAAGAAACTAGAAACATCTCAAATAAATAATCTAACCTTACACCTGAAGGAACTAAAGAAAGAAGAACAAACAAAACCCAAAGTTAGCAGAAGGAAAGAAATCATAAAGATCAGAGCAGAAATAAATGAAATAGAAACAAAGAAAACAATAGCAAAGATCAGTAAAACTAAAAGCTGGTTCTTTGAGAAGATAAACAAAATTGATAAACCATTAGTGAGACTCATCAAGAAAAAGAGGGAGATGACTCAAATCGATAAAATTAGAAATGAAAAAGGAGAAGTTACAACAAACACCACAGAAATACAAAGCATCCTAAGAGACTACTACAAACAACTCTATGCCAATAAAATGGACAACCTGGAAGAAATGGACAAATTCTTAGAAAGGTATAACCTTCCAAGACTGGACCAGGAAGAAGCAGAAAGTATGAACAGACCAATCACAAGTAATGAGATTGAAACTGTGATTAAAAATCTTCCAACAAGCAAAAGTCCAGGACCAGATAGCTTCACAGGGGAAGTCTATCAAACATTTAGAGAAGAGCTAACACCCATCCTTCTCAAACTCTTCCAAAAAATTGCAGAAGAAGGAACACTCCCAAACTCATCCTATGAGGCCACCATCACCCTGATACCGAAACCAGACAAAGATACTACAAAACAAGGAAATTACAGACCAATATCACTGATGAATATAGATGCAAAAATCCTCAACAAAATACTAGCAAACAGAATCAAACAACACATTAAAAGGATCATACACCATGATCAAGTGGGATTTATCCCTGTGATGCACGGATTCTTCAATATACACAAATCAATCAATGTGACACACCATATTAACAAATTGAAAAATAAAAACCATATGATCATCTTAATAGATGCAGAAAAAGCTTTGGACAAAATTCAACACCCACTTATGATAAAAACTCTCCAGAAAGTGGCCATAGAGGGAACCTACCTTAACATAATAAAGGCCATATATGACAAACCCACAACAAACATCAATCTCGATGGTGAAAAACTGAAAGCATTTCCTCTAGGATCAGGAGCAAGACAAGGATGTCCACTCTCACCACTATTATTCAACATAGTTTTGGAAGTCCTAGCCACAGCAATCAGAGAAGAAAAAGAAATAAGAATGCAAACTGGAAAAGAAGAAGTAAAGCTGTCACTGTTTGCAGATGACATGATACTATACATAGAGCATACTAAAGATGCCACCAGAAAACTACTAGAGCTAATCAATGAATTTGGTAAAGTTGCAGAATACAATATTAATGCACAGAAATCTCTGGCATTCCTATACACTAATGATGAAAAATCTGAAAGAGAAATTAAGAAAACACTCCCATTTACCATTGCAACAAAAAGAATAAAATATCTAGGAATAAACCTACCTAGGGAGACAAAAGACCTGTATGCAGAAAACTATAAGACACTGATGAAAGAAATTAAAGATGATACAAACAGATGGAGGGATATACCATGTTCTTGGATTGGAAGAATCAATATTGTGAAAATGACTATACTACCCAAAGCAATCTACAGA